TCTTTTGCCCTTGAGACTCTGTGAATTGGACTTTGTTTATCTTCTGAACCGGGACGGTCACTCCCTCAAACGGTAATCCGACCATGTACAGTGAACCACTCTTCTTTCCGCAAGCCATGACAAGATTTCCCTTCACGACCTTTAACTGCCCGTCTCCAAACTTCACCTCGTGTCCTTATTCGTCCAATTGCCTACTAGAAATCAAACTTGTCTTCAAGGCTAGAACGACTCTGACATCTTTAAAGTCCAGAAACTAATTCGGGTCTTTACCACTATGTCATCCATGCACGTAACATCAAGAGCTCTGTTGTCCGCTAGTTGTACCTTTCCAAAGTCCCCAATAACAAGATTCTGCAATGCTTCACCGTCGTGGTTAGCATTAAATGAAGCACCAGAACCCATAATCCAGGAATCCACATTGTTATCCGCACAACAAATCAGAAGGACCTTCTGGTCACTCGCGGAGCCTTCAGTATTGTTCATTTGCTTATCCTTCGGGCATTGATTCCTAAAATGCTCCACCTCCTTGCACTTCCAGCATGTTACACCTGAGCGGTCACAAGTCTTCGGCTGACTCCTTCGTCTGTTCGTACTCCCGTTACCTCTACCCTTCCTTCTGCCTCTGCCAACATGTAACTCCCCAAAACTCTTTCTTCTTACATCATCGCCAAGAATGAGATTATGAATCTGATCGAAAGTGAACCCATTGGGTCCCACTGAACCGGTAACCGTTGTAACCATTCCGGACCAACTATCAGGCAAAGACGATAGCAGTAGGAAAGCTTAAACTTCATCAAAAGGCTTAATCTACACCGATGCATGTCTGGTTAAGATCGAGTTCAACTTATTGATATGCTCGGTAACTGAAGTGCCTTCTTTCATCCCTGTGTTCATCAGCTCTCTAATCAGAAAAACCTTGTTCGCTGCAGATGGCTTCTCGTACATGTAAGACAACACTTCCATAATTCCCTTCGCTTTGTTCTCCTTCAGAATGTTGAACACATTGCGATCGAATCCTGCGCAATCTGCTTTTGACATCTTTTCTAACTTGTCACCCAAAACCATGTCCAAAACTTTTGAATCAGCAAACCTTCAATTTGCATCTTCCACCAACTGAATTCTGTACCATCGAATTTTGCAATTCAAAACTTTCCATCTTTCGCCATCATAGACTATTAAACGAGATACCCGGTACAACTTATTTAAGATCTAGGTAATTTATTCAGAAAAATCAGGCCCACCACACCAATTTAACCAGTTCCGATCCTTTGGGTAGCGTAAATCATTTATCAACATCATCATATATATATTTATTCATATTCATACCACCAACAACTTGTAACACCCTGTTTGGGACTTGTCGTGCGGTCCAAAACAAATTAAAAATTTATAAAATAACTTTAACTAACCCCCAAGACATAATCAAACTAAAAACTATACCTAGGGCAAGTAGTGGTCGATCCCACGGAGAAAGTTTGTACGTTTTCAAACCAATTTAGCATGCACACACATTGTCACGAAATAAACAAAAACTAACTACTCCACATATTAGAACACTTATAAAACTTATAATTAAATAAATATAAAAACATATAAATTGAATTTATATAAACAAAGAACTTATAATATAACTTATAAACATAAAACACATACTTAAGATATACTAAAAGAATAAAGTATAAAAAAACTTATATTTATAACTTATAAACAAACACTTATAATATAACTTAGTAAATAAAAACTTATATTATAACTTAAAACACAAGGGGGGGGGGGGGGGGGTTGGATGAAAAGTAAATATTTTTTGGTTTTTTTGATAAAATGGGGGAAAACAAGCTCAAAAGATAATCAACTTTTCCAACTTAGGTAACCCAAGAAACACCGCCAAAAACCCAAAACAAAATGAAAAAGAGAAAAAACACAAATTGAACATTACACATATAATAGACACTTAGACAATATATTACGTAACTTACGCACTTAAAAATAGAATAGAATTCAAAGGATCAAGTTGATTCATATCCTTGACCAGATATAGAGGATCGTCAACTCTCTATAAGGCCCGGAGTCAAAGATTCAAAGGCCTTTTGGATCACTTTGAACCCCCACTCACCTCAAGCGCTCAAACAATGATTCCAAAAGATGAAAAAGTGTATAAAAGAGCGAATCTTTCTTTCATTCTAACTCCCATGCACAAAGTATTCATGAAGAACATTTGATACACTTTAATAAACTTTAACGTCTAATGATGAAAATATTTTGCAGGTCTTCTTGAACTACTCAAGCGTAAGAATTTTAGTTTATTCACATAAAAGAATATTACATATTTTCATTAAATCGAGAGTTGTTTATTGCGCTTAAACAATCCCAATTTTTATGAAAATAACAAACAAGAACACCAAGACATAAACAATCACTTTATAACGAATCTTAAGGAAGACGTTCAACTTATGTGGCTAAGAAGTTCATTTACCTTAAAATTTTACAAAACACAAGTCACAAAAGAGATTCACGTATGAATTCGAGAATCATTTAACTAAAATATGGAGCTAAATTAGCTTCAATGATAACCGAATTCGACATACCAACCTACTTATGAATTCAAATTTATCATTCAACCAATTTAACATCAATTTGCGCAAAAATTGAAGAAACTAGTAAGAATTCATTCTCATTCATAAGGGATTTAATATAACATAAAAAACCTCATGAAAGAACACCAACCATTTTGGAATTTTCGAAATTAACACAAACAAGCAAGCAAAAATGTAAAAATGAATTCAAACAACACTTTTACAAAGAATTGGAAAAAATTGAAGAAATAACATATAGGGTTACCAATTAGAGGAAGAAGATGAAGAAATTGAAGAATTGGAACTGTGGTGGAGGCTTTCGACCGCTCACTGGGACTACTGCGACCGCCGGTTTGCGTCTGCCGGCCGTCCGCCACCGCCGCCGCGGCTAGGCCGCGGCTCTCTGGTCGTTCTCTCCGCTGGTTCCCCTCCCTCTTTGCCACTTGATGTATGTCGCCCATTTATAGCAGCAAGGAGCGCTATTTCCCGTTGAAAAATTATTTTCGTTGCTGAATTGAATGAGGAGCGTAGGAGAAGGAGAGACGTTGGAGGAGTTACGCTGGTTTTTTTCTTCCATTTGACGAAGAAGAATGTCGCTGGTTCTTCCTTTCTTGCGTGCGTGCGTGAGATTGAATTTGGGAAAGAGAATGATGGGCTGGCCTTCTTTTGTTGATGATGATTTGGACTCCGGCCCAAATTAGATTGCTTCCTTTCAAACTTGAACTTCATTTTTGGCCTTTCACTGCACTTTTCTCCAAAAAATTAAGATATCTGATAACTTGGGTTAGGAAAAAATAAAATAAAATAAAAAATAATATAATGTAAAAAATGACTAAAAACTACTATTTATGAAAGAAAAATAAAAGATTGTAAAAATGAGAATTAGAATAAAACTAAGCAAAACAACTAAAAACTAAACAATAAAAATATTAAAAATGCCTAAAATTGAATAAAAAGAACTAACCTAAAAACGACTTATCACACCCTAATCTGTCCAGGTCTTCAGTCCCTTTCGGAATAAAGTATTAACTTGGTAATTGTAAACATTCAAAATATTTCAACATATTTATTTATCATAAATAAAATTTAATACAATGCTGTAGAAAATACAAAGTGTTTAATAATGCGGAAGCTGTAACAGCCCAACCCGCGTAACCCGAACCAACGAGTTAACGATCCGGGTTGCTACTAAATTGGCATCAAACACAATAATTTCCTAAACAATTTAAATAAGTTTAATTTAAAAACAATAATAATTTCCAGAGTTCGGTTCTAGACTTAAGAGTTATAAATATATAATCTTTATGGAGCTACTAGCAGAGAGACTAAAGAAATTGGACTAGTACAACACACATGGCCTTCATGGATAGGATCAACCAATTTAAATAAAATCATAATAAAAAAATCATAATCAAATTTCACCTAATACGAATCTACGACTTGATATACATACATACATACATACATACATACATACATACATACATACATACATACATACATACATACATACATACATATATATGAGTAAACCAAACAAAGAAGAAATTGGCAAACATGGTAGTGACTAGAGACGACCGAAGCGGTGTCATGACTGTTGTTGCTCTTCCTCCACGTCACATTGATTGAGATTTGGTCCTGCTCCTGCGGCTTCAGCTCTTTCTTTCTTATTATGTAAATACGTCTTAGCTTTTGTGCGTGTTTTTATGCGTATAGATATAGAAATGAGGGGTGATTTCCCAATCAGTGAAGATTTGGGAAATGCATTCCCAAATGGTGAAGGTGTACCTGACAATGCGCAGGGTGGTGTAATTTGATGCTTAACGGGACTGGTAGTACCGTTAGTTTATTTTTTTTAGGTTAACGGTAGAGTCAGTACCGTTAACCCATGGGTTATTTTAAATATGAAATGCAATACTTTCTTTCCTTAGGTATAGGAATTAAATTTGAACATTAATAAAATTTTTATTCATTTGAAGCACTACTACTGAAATTAAAAAGCATACAAATAAAAGTTGTCGCACATATTTAAAAATTACACATTGAAATTTATAATTTAACTAAGTACCCCGACGATGCCTCCGTGGTCGCATATCCATATTATTTGTGAAGCGGATGCTCACTACACGACCGGCCTGCGACCTTTGCCCTATAAATGGTCGGACTAATTCATAATCTAGAGTGGGCCATTCAATTTCATTTTGTAGTGGCATAAGACTTCCAGAATATGCATCGAGGTAATTCTAAAGTGAGAACACTTGTGGAATGAGATCATCAACCGTAATGTTACAATAACGACATACGACATAGACATGCACACATGGCATGTGCAATGTGGCCCATTTCCCGCAACTGCACAATTTTGGCCCAGATGCACGACACTCTCATCTAATCTACCGGTAGCTCCAGTGTTGCCCTCAACAACGACCCAATAATTCCCTTGTTGCGGATGATGTGGGATAACATGGCAATGTAAACGATGGTCTTCCATGCGTCTCACCTCGTTCCAAATATATTTTGGGAACTTAAATCCCGCCTGTAGCCATGTAAATCCGTTTGTACGCCTTTCTGGTAAATAATTTTACTAATCGCTCGTACGTCGTCTTCACAATAGCGTATACCGGAAGAGACCGACATCCCTTAAGCACATGATTGTAGCTTTCCGAAAGATTAATGGTTAGGATTCCATATCGAGCCCCACCATCGGAACAGAGTGCCCACTTCTCTAATGGCAAAGCCAACAACCAGTCATATGCCTCCTCCCGTTGTGACTTAATTTGTTGCATTGTTCTATTGAATTCATAGACATCTGGGGTACTGGCTGCATGATACATCAAGCCCTTCAGTTTTTTGCTATTGAACTTCTTCTGAAAATTACTTCTCAAGTGGCGCAGGCAATATCTCCTGGTGACACGTTGTTCCAATAACTGGGGGATAGTATTGAAAGCTACATCAATGCCCCCGTGCCTATCAGAAATGATGCACACCGACATATCGTAAGGTACTACATAATGCATTAAATGCATCATGAACCAGCTCCAACTATCCTCGTCTTCTTTGTCAACAAGGGAATAGGCTAATGGGTAAATCTCGTGATTTGTTGTCATTGTTACTGCCAACAACAACACCCCCTTATATTTCCCATACAAGTGGGTGCCATCAACAGAGATCACGGGAAAATAGTACTTGAACCCATCTATAGACGTTATGAAAGACCAGAAAACGTACATGAACTGAAAAGTTTGTGGCGTTGTTGTTGGCCGCATTTGTATTTCGGCCACTGACCCAGGATTGCTTTGAATCAACGCTGCTAATAAAGGCAATAGCTTGTTATACGAATCCTCCCAGGATCCGTATAGTCGTTGAATGACATTCGAATTAGCCAACCAACATTTCTTATACGACACAGAAACTTGAAATAAGTCGTATATATCTTTAATGATGTACCTCACCTTGTAATCAGCATCAGCAGCAATTTTTGAGAATATAATTCCGGATATGAGCTTGCTTGTAATAAGCTTATCGTCCTTCTCTTTCGAAAAGTCTGGTCTGCATAAATGTTGACTTCTATACTGTTTGACAGTCCAAACTCATGCAACCTCTGCAGCCTGGATGAGCCATAGGCACTGTTCCGGATACGAGCACTTCGCCAGCCAATAATTGCGACGCTTTGAAGAAGTCTGAAAGTGTCTATGCTCTGCAATATTGCGTAGCGCCACTGCAAATTGAAGGCTTTTGAAATCACCGTACTGATATCCAATCTGAATTTCAGGGATACAAATTGTTGGTTGTAGTGAGACTTCTTCAACGTGCCTATTGATCGAAAATTCTGGAATTCCTTGTTCAACAACGTTAATAGGCTCCTCTGTGTACACGTCCAGTGTGTACATAGAGACCCATCCAGATACTTCAGACTCATCTAAAGAACTCTCTTGATCAGAATTAGCAACATACGTCGAATTCTCAGAGTCATCTTCATCATCCATGTCTGTGCCGTGTTAGAAGGTCCCGCCTCATCAACTTGGTGGTGGTGGTGGTGGTGGTGATGAGCTTGGTGGTTTTGCTCTTCCTTCATTTCTTCTTCCTCGTTAGCCAACACTTTAACTTGGTGTGCATCTAGGTAAACCTCAAGTTCATCATATTCCTTCGTTGCCTTTTGAACGAAACACCCCCATGTTCGCTCCTCGGAAATGGGGAAAGGGCGTGAAGCGGCATATACTCCATCCTTGTATTTGGAATATTTTCCCCAAATTTTTTTGATGGAATTGAGATTAGCTTCACCAATAGCATCGAGGAGTTCATTGAAGACCTCCTCGAATGAGATATCAAGATAAAAAACAAAGGCTTTGTTTGAATGCAATGAGTTCTCCACCTCATTGTTCTTGATCATTATCTCACCGTTCTAATGGGCTAGCATGACAAAGCTACCATCAGAGGCCATTTTTTGGTAAGAGGTTGTGAGAGAAGTGAGTAGATATGTGAGAGTAAAGCTCGGTGGTGAGATTATGAGAGTTAAGCAACAAATATATAGATGCGATATTTTTTAGTTAGGTGGATTGTATGGTGTAGGATGGTTCATAGTGTTAAGTGAGATATTTTTTTGGTTAGGTGGATTACATGGTGTAGGATGGTTCATAGTGTTATGTGAGATATTTTTTTAGGTGGATTGTATGGTGTAGGATGGTTAGTGGTGATAGATGATATATTTTTTAGATGGATTGTATGGTGTAGGATGATTAGTGGTGTTTGATGAGATATTTTTTTAGGTGGATTGTATGGTGTAGGATGGTTCGTAGTGTTATGTGAGATTTTTTTTGGTTAGGTGGATTGTATGGTGTAGGATGATTAGTGGTGTTAGATGAGATATTTTTTTGTTAGGTAGATTGTATGGTGTAGAATGGTTAGTGGTGTTAGATGAGATATTTTTTGTTAGGTAGATTGTATGGTGTAGAATGGTTAGTGGTGTTAGATGAGATATTTTTTTTGTTAGGTGAATTGTATGGAGTAGAATGGTTAGTGGTGTTAGATGAGATATTATTTTTTGTTAAATGGATTTTATGGTGTAAAATGTTTAGTGGTGTTAGATGAGATATTATACAGTACATAAACATCGAAATTAATACAGTAATGAAGATTTTAGCATCCAAATTAATGAGTAATAAAGATTTTAGCATCCAAAATAATACAAGAATAAAAAGTTTAAATTACAGTGAATACATAAAATAAATGTTTACGAATTAAATTCGTCATCGTGAAAATGTCCTTGAACCAAAAATGGGAGGGAGGGGTTGGGTTTTGGACAGAAGGATCCGAAATACCATTTTTTTTAGATATAACGGTACTGGCTGTACTGTTAATGCCTTTGAAATTAATTTATTTTAACATAACGGTACAGCCAGTACCGTTAATTCCTTTTTCAATTATTTTATTTTAACTTAACGGTACTGGCTGTACCGTTAATTTCTTTTTCCACTAACAGCACTGAACGGGAACACTTTTTTCTTTTCTTCACTGAATGGGAATTAAATCAGAAATGGGGGGTTGGGTTGTACGTGTAGATTAGGAAATCAGGTTTATTATTTTATAATATCAAATCATTATATTTATTTATTGAATTGTCATATCTCTTTAGTTCATAACTTTTTATACACAAGTTCAAACTTAAAAAGTTATATACTGTTTTTCACCTTTACACGAGACTTACCCCACAAGACCAATATTGAATACACAGTTTGAGTTTATGAATATTTTATATTTTAGGGTCAGAAAATAGAATAAAATAATATATATTTTTCTAAATATCATGGCTAACTACTTAGCTTGTTTCAAGGGTGTTACAACCAGATCCATATGAGACTTTCTAGTTTTCCTTTTTTAACAGCCTAGTCAATCATATCATTCAGAACTCATCTTACACCTACAAAAGGACCGTCTAGGCCTCTCTAGGCATACAAGAACACTTCCCGTCCAGTGTTTTTTTAAAAATTTTGGGATGTGGTGGGTTGGGAAGTTAGGACATTTGTGCTGAAATGTATTTGGGAGGTTTCTGAAGAAGAATGATTTTCATTAAATAATAGGGTTGTGTTTACATGTATTTATACAAGGAGTCTCAATCCTAAACAAGGTAGGAGAGACATAAATAGGAAACCTATATAAATAAGGTATGGAAATAATACAATTATATTAAATATAAATAATATATTTAACATGCCCCCAGCTACGTCGGATGTGGAGGAGGTCTGATTCCCAAGCTTTGTCTAAAGTCGAGAAATAGTAGAGATGTCAGTCCCTCAGTGAAGATTTCAGCATCCTGCAAGGACGAGGGAACATGAAGAACTCTCACATGGCCTAGTTCCACTTTGTCACAAACAAAGTGGATATCAACCTCCACGTGCTTAGTGCGCTGGAGCTGTACGGGGTTTGTGAAGAGGTACACAGCACTGACGTTGTCGTAGAAGACAAGGGTGACATGCTGAAGAGGTTGTTGTAGCTCAAGAAGAAGATTTCGAATCCAGCTTGTATCCGCAATTGCGTTAGCCACAGCTCGATACTCAGCCTCTGCACTGGAGTGGGAAGTGGTAGCCTGACGCTTGGAGGACCAAGAAACTAAGTTGTCGCCAAGAAAAACACAATACCCTAAGGTGGAGCGTCTATTTTCTGAGCAACCAGCCCAATCGGCGTCGGAGTATGCCTGTAAGAAGTCCGTAGCAGAACGCGTCAGGTAAATGCCATGGTGGAGGTGCCAATGAGATAGCGCAAGACACGCTTCATGGCGGTGAGATTAGCATCGCGGGGTGCATGAAGGTGTAGACAAAGCTGCTAGACGGCATATGTAATATCAGGACGAGTGAATGTGATGTACCGTAAGGCTCCAACAGTGGATCGGTAGAGAGTAGGATCAGGGAGCAACTTGCCTCATGAGGAGGAGAGCTTTGCCTTTGTGTCCACTAGGGTGGAGGTGGGATGACAAGAAACCATCCCGGCCCGCTCAAGTATGTTATGTGTGAACTGTATTTGGTGGAGAAAAAGGTGTCCTGTGAACGTTAATGCCGAGGAAAAAATGTAAGTCTCCCATGTCTGTCATAGCGAATTCGGCTTTCATGTTTATGCATGTTTGGAAAATGGTTTCTAGATTCTCTAACTTGACTACTGTTTATCCTAATGTTCTTTCTAGGTGGTCTAGTGTTCCTAGTTGATGTAGGTTGTCTATTATTGTTCATTTTAGTTTTCCTAGGTTGAGCCTTAGGTTGTTTAGGTGGTTGCTTCAAGTTTTGCAACTTGTTCTTTAAGTGATGTACAAGAACTACATTTTGAACTCTCCGGTTTGTCGGCGCTTCTTTTTCCGAAAAACTTATTTTCTTCTTTAAGTTTTTCATTATCTTTTGATAATTTATCAACCTCCTTCTCCATGTAAGTAAGTTGTTTCTTTAAATCCTTGTTAATTTTAGAAGCATTGACATATTCATCATAGAGTTCATTAAAAGCTTCTTGTACATCATCTAAAGTATGGGAATCTTTAGAAGTGGTACATTCCTCTTCCGGTGGTTCCTCGTGTGCCATGAGGCAAAGGTTGGCGCTTTCATTTTCTTCACCTTCCGATGATTCGTCGCCAGAATCACCTCCCCACGAGATGTAAGCTCGGTGCTTCTTGAACGGTTTCTTCTCCTTCTCGTTTTTGGCATTTGGGCATTTTGGCTTGATATGCCCAACTTCTCCACATCCATAGCACTTGGGTGGTCCTCCATGCTTTTTACCCTTTCGTTCATACTCCTTGCGCATGAACTTGTGGAATTTCTTGATGAC